GGTTCCAGGACCCTTTGGAAGCTCACCCTGCCCCCCCCCGGTGGGGCCAGAGGGGGCAAAATCACCACCTTCTGGGACTCTTTTGAGGCTTGGGAAGCTAATGCAGAAGATTTGTATTCCACATATCCTGTGAGTGTTCACATTGAATGAACATGCTGCTTCTCTGACAGGACTCCAAATCCCTCTCACTTGCTGCATATAAGTTTCTGAAATGCATGCACAGATGAGCTCCTTCTTGAAGCTGTTGAAATAATTTATATGATTAGTTCCCTCCTTCCTTTGCCCTGCATTTTTACTAAACATTTTGAAGTGCACATCTTCAGCAAAATAATGAAGGCTCTCTATCCCTCTCTTGCCTTGAATCCACAGAGAGGGAGAAGCATAGTTTGTGTCCCCCCCTCTGTGTGTGTGTGTGTGTGTGTGTGAGAGAGAAACTGAAATGAAATCCCATTGTTGCTTCCAAACATGCTTCAGATGACTAGTTGGCTCCTGCCAGAAAACTGAAACCTGGTACTATTGGATTGCAGCAGTTTTACTTTCTAGTGGAGACATGAGCTTTATGCAAAAAGAGGAATGAGGGTAACCCTGGGGTATGCAAAGAGGAGCATACAAAATGGGAATTATGCTTGTCATTGCCCCTCAGTTGCCATTCTCCCTGCAACAGTATACAGAGAGATGTCATGTTGAGCAGAGCCTTTCCACACTTTAGAAACCCTGACAGAGACACTTCTCTCAGATTTTCATTCTCTACATGACAGAATGGGAGAGGGGTAATGAGTATTTCCCTTTTATGGACTGCTTTTAAAGAGGGGGCAAAATCGCCACCTTCCGGGACTCTTCTGAGGCTTCCCAAGCCTTAAAAGAGTTCCAAAAGGTGGCGATTTCATCACCGCTAGCCCTGCAGGGGGGCAGGGGGAGCCTCAGAAGGGTCCCGAAACGCACCCTAGGACCCTTTGGAGGCTTACCCTCCCCATGGGGCCAGTGGGGGCAAAATTGCCAGCTTCTGGGATCCTTCTGAGGCTTCCCAAGCCTTAAAAGAGTTCCAAAAGGTGGCGATTTCATCACCGCTAGCCCTGCAGGGGGGCAGGGGGAGCCTCAGAAGGGTCCCGAAACGCACCCTAGGACCCTTTGGAGGCTTCCCCCACCCTCACCCCCACTAGCCCAGCAGGCCGAAATTCCCAGATTATTTTTTCCTGTTTTCTTCCCCTAAAAATTTGGTGTGTCTTATGGAGCAAAAAATACGGTAACACTTAATTCCAGTTGCACACACACTCCAATATGTGCACTCTAATGATATCCATTATCTGTATTACTTGTTGCAGTCTACACGTCATTGTATTTCTTCTTTTATTGCTGAATTAAGTTACCTGTGGAATTCCTTGTGAAGACATGATTGCTTGGTTATAGAAACTTCTACCAAAATGATCACGATCGGGAAACACTTCTGACTGGTAAGGTAAGTTTGCACCTCCGGAGTCAACTAAGTAAAAATAAAGAATGAACGTTTGTAAATAATGTATTTTCTGAACATAACTGGACAACATCACTCCCTGCAAGGTGAGCACTGAGAGAGCTCAGATGAAGCTACTGCAATCAGACTGTCTGGGGACAGGAATTAGAGATCTGCTTTCCATCCATGCCCAAAGAGGGTAATTTGTAGCGGTCACTGCTGCATTGCAAAATTGGGGCCACAACAAGGTAACTGTTTGGATGAAGGACGTTCCTAATCTTCTGCACAGCTCTTCCTTCAATCAGTTCCACCATCATTCTCACAAAAGAAAAGACAGCAGCAAACTCCAGGATCTGAAAAAGGGAAACTGAACTCTGGACATGGATTATATATGGTGTATTCCTCTTCAAGATGTTAAGGTACCACACATGTGCTGGGCTCTCATCCTTCTTGGCTTATAAAAGAAGCCAGAGAGGAACTGTGGTAAAAGGTGAATGCCTCCATGCAACAAGACAAGGTACCAGAATGCCTAAAGAAGGCAGTAATAAGACCTTTGTTTTAAAAGATCCTCCTTGAATCCCACTGCGCTGACAATCATTGGCTAGCTTCCAACATTCCCTTTTTGAGCAAGATTTTGGAGCATGAGGTGGTGTCCCAACTCCAGAGGATCCCAGATGAAGTGGATTATCTAGATCAGTTTTTCCCAACATTGGATCCCCAGACGTTCTTGGACTGCAACTCCCACAAGTCCTTGCCAACACAGCTAGTGGTGAAGGCCTCTGGGAGTTGCAATCCAAGAACGTCTCAGGACCCAAGGATGGGAAACAGTGATCTAGATCCATTTAAATCTGGTGTCAGGCCTGGTTATGGGACAGAGACAGCTTTGGTTGCGTTAGTACTATTTTGACAGCAACTTTGTAAAAATAAACAGTGCTTTGAATCTTTGTTCATCAATTAATAACAGCATTTGTAATAGTACGTACCTAAGTAAATACAAGGGAGATAATTTTGCATGGCAATTTCTTGAGCACGTAGATGTTTCTTTACAGTGATCGGGTAATATGTTCCACCTTTGACAGTTGCATCATTGGCAATAATCAGACACTCTACTCTGAAATACAGTTTATAACAGAACTGAGTACTTCTTTCTGGAGCAAAAGCTTGCTAACATTACCCTAAAAACACTGGACAGTATCCTGTTCGTTTGTCTGCATCCAGAATGGAAACTGTGGAAGCATGCCAATTGCACCACTAGGTACCTCACCAAATTGCTGCAGCTACTTCCATGATTTCCATTCTACATGCAGACAATCCAACAGAACATTGGCCATTGATATTCATTCATGTTCCATCCAGATAAATGTATGTGTTTTGCTGTTAAGAATCATGGCAAAGCTGCCTTCTATATCTGCTGCACCATCCAAGGAATGTTCATGTGAGGACCCCTGTCTGCATTTCAGGGATAACAGAAGGTTAAAGACTCTAGGCAGGAAAAGAACATGAGACTACTGAAAAACAGCTTTTAGTATACTAGGCTAAACCTCAAGAGCCATTATAATGCACTGGATAGAATGCCAGACTAAGACTCAAGAGATCTGGGTTCAAACCCCCACTCAATCATGGAAACTCACGGAAGAAGGTAGAGTAAAAGCACTCCTTAAATATGTCACATATCTTGGAAACCCTACCAGGATAGCCATAAATTGCAATCAACTTAACAGCATATAGTACACAAACACTGTTTCAGCCTCAGACTAGTACAAAGTGTGCTGTGAATTTTATTTTATTTCTTTTTTCAGAAAGGGCAAAATCATAGATGGGGAATATTTGGCATCCAAATAATGTTGGCTGTGATTACCATCAGCCAGCATGGGCAATAGTGAAGAATGATGGAAGTTGTAATGCAGCAACATGTGGAGGGTCATATTCTCGCTAAACCTAGGCTACTGCCTTCTGTACATATGAAGCTAGTATAAAGCACTTTTGGCCTCACTTGCCCACCATTCCAGTCACAGCTACAATGCAGTACCTTCAGGATGCAAATCTGAATTATCAGAAATACTAGAATTCATTGATATCTAGCATCACATCCTATCTGTAGAAGCTTAGAAGACTTGTAATCCATTATCATTTCAACTCTCTGCAAAGTAAGAGGAAGCAGTTTTCTACTATACCATATTTGTTCTAATGGTGTCAGAGCCTTTTGTTCAGCAATTCCTGAATACTATGAAATGCATATCCATTAAACAATTATTTGGTTATCAAATAAGGAAAAAATGAAACAACGGTGGCACTTTCACCAGTATTTTATTTTCCTTGAACTGTCTGGCCCCGAAATCAAAAGCAAAGTTGTTGACAGACGTTTTCTCAAAATAATTTCCAATAAGCCATTTTGACACAATATGAAACTGGATTTCCAATTTAAACCTTTCAGTTTAAAGCAAAAAATCATTGGGAGGAGGCAGGTGGACATTAAAACCTCTTATCAGCCATAACAATATGGTACTAGAGCCAATGTATAATCTCCAAAACAAGCAGGGCAGTTTAAGACACTGTAATAATAAACCTTTTAATTCTGGTTTCTTTAGACTGTTTTGCAATATTCAGAAATATGAGAAAGCAAAGCTAAAACCTCACAGAAAATACATTGATAGGAATTCTCACCCTGACACCCGTCCAATGCCTGTAATGATGCCTCCTGCTGGCACTTCTTCATTGCCATACAGCTGGTAGCCTGCAAACTGTGAAAATTCCAGGAATGGAGACCTGAGAAGAGAGAAAAATCTCAGGAAAGTCAGGTATATGAAGCAATCTCGTGCTGATCAATGTTACAGGAGACAACATTTTCAAGTTCATAATTTAATCACTAAGCAACTGCCATTCTCATTATTTTAAAAGGGAGATTTCCATCCCACATTTCCACTCCAGCAATACAATATGCCTAACAATAGCAACAAGAAAAATATAGGATAGCTACAAATCTTATATAATCTGTCATTATTACACACAAAGCATGGAAACAAAGGATTTCTTAACTTATAGATTGAATTATTAAGAATGAAGCAGTAATACCCACCCAGGATCTATAAGTCTGTCAATTCTTTCTCTAGGTAACAACTTTCCTCTTGATGTATGAAGGTTCCGTGCCTTCTCTCCGCCACCTGTCATGTAATATCTCGCATTATTATAATTTTTGGTTACACTACATGTGCAAGCAATTGAACAGACTCCCACAATTTAGTAGTAACCAAAACACTTCCACCAACAGCACTGGCAGATTAAACACTTTTCTGAATCTTCTATTAATTCTACCATCATCATTGTATTTTCTAATAAAGATTTGTGTTTTCCTACATTTCTGCAAATGCAACCTCAACCACACCACTCCTGACTGAGACTGAGACGGGGAGAGGGAGATAAGATAGGAGAGGGAAATGGAATAAGTGGCTGGAAAGGAAAGAGAGAGAAAGATATAGATATATGAGAGGCAAAAATTGCTAACATTCTCTGGATAGGTCGCTTTCTGGTTCACACCAAAAAATCTCAGGCATTACTGCAGCTGGGTGCAGTACCAACAATGTAAAAGCAGTTTTCAGTAGCAGTAATGCTGTTGTAATGACAGATTCCCAGGCTGGGCTTCACATTTAGGCTGATGGACAACATAACAGATCGCTTGTGAATGAACCTGCGGAAGCATTCAATATCAACAAGGTTACAAAAAGGAGCTTAATAGTCATTATATGGTGGCTCTAGCACTGCTGTAAACTTTTCCCGGTTGGCTTTTCTGAAATTTTATCTCCTACAGAATGGTACAGATTGAAGGCAGATGGCTGAGTAGCTGTAACACAGAATGGGTCTGTGCTGAGTGTTTGGGAGTGGATCATCTACGCTCTCTTAATGCACTGTTGAGTTATAGGCACATTAACAAAAATTAGATCTGGATTGTAGCTTCTTTCTCACCTCTCGTCACTGTTAAATGAACTAGGTATGTATAAGGTATATTGAATGGGATTTTACCCATTTTATAATGGCTTTTCCATTTTGGTTATCATATCTATAGCTCCAAATGTTGCTATGGCACATACAAATAATAACAACAGCTTTGCCCATGCTACTTCATAGCAGAATATACTAGTGCTGTATGATATAAATCAGCATATGCCAAACAAGTGGGTGTAGATCTTAATGAATCATGCAACATTTTATAAATAATAATAATAAGAAGAAGAAAAAAATTTAAATAAAGAGAATCATGCAGCATTATTACTGACTGCCTGAAACCTACCCCTACTGAAAATGCCAACTGCGCTGGTATTGCCCCTCTAGAAGTACACTGAGAGGAGCTAGCAAATAATGAATGACATTAGGTAATACAGCACCAAATTAATCCATCTCATGGGCACTAACCTCCTACATGATGGTTAAAACTGAGGAAATGTTTTCTGCACACAGCTCAACCTACAGTGCTACCTCAACTTACAACCATAATCTGTTCCAGAAGATGGACATAAATCATCTGAAGGTGCCATCCCTGAAAGAGGTGAGGGAGATGGCATGTCGAAATAGGGCCTTCTTGGCTGATCCCACTCAACAAACTCTCCCCAGCCACAAGGACCGGGGATCACTACACACAAAAGACCAGCTAATGACACCCATCAACCACAGTGACAGATAATCTTTCCTTCTTATCACAACAATACACCCACAACAAGACATACTAATCACCCATCTACAGAAAAAGACAAAAGTGCATCTCACAGCCATAAATACTCCACTCCCAAGCCAACTACACCAGAGCACAGAGTGCTGTCCTCTAAAGATGCCAGCCACAGAGACTGGCGAAATGTTAGGAAGAACAACCTTCAGAACACGGCCAAAGAGCCCGAAAAACCCACAACAACCATTAGATCCCAGCCATGAAAGCTTTCATGAATACATATTAATTAATGTTTAATTTGACCTGTATTTCATATATGTTCGAAATTTTAAATTGTGCAATAGAAAGGAAGGAAGGAAGGAAGGAAGGAAGGAAGGAAGGAAGGAAGGAAGGAAGAATTGTATAGTTATGAATGACAACATTACATTTATGGTGGGTTTTTCCCCCAGTATTGGCAACTTTGTTGTTACAGCTGTTATTCAGTAATGTGGTCATTCCACCTTCAATCCTACTACCTTCTGAAAGCTAGAGGTCTCTACTTGTGCCTTTTACCCCAGTAGACAATGTACAATGGCAATTATGGAGTGAAAAGTGTGGTTTTCTTTTTTCCACCACCACCCAGTACAGCTAGTTTTTAGTGGAACACGTCTGATCCTAGAATTATTTCCAGGGAAAAAATATGAGCAACACAATCAGGTTTATGAGTAGCAGCTAGGAGTATGTGGAACCTCTTTTTCAATGAGACAGACGAAATGGCAAATCCCTCTTTTTGTGAGTGGGCTGGGTATTCTTCTTAAGAGATCCAGCTAAGGATGGATAGAACTGGTAATGTCCAGTGTATTATGCAACTCTTGACTGCTTTCTTTCTTTATACTATGGCCTAATTACTACTGGCTATTTATGTACATGAAAGAGGAACCCTGAGAATTACCGCAGCTAATGGATGAGGTACTGAGGGCACAACTGGAAATGTAACCATGCATGTGACTAACCCTCATGAATTAGCCACAGAAATTTCCATAATTCTTCTTATGTATGTGTAAATGTCCAATAAGATTCTGGCCAATAGTTGTTTTTTTTAATTCTTTTTGAGGAAATTCCTCAAAGAGAGGGAAATCCTGCTATTTAAAGCAGTGGTTCCCAACCTTCAGTAGCCCAGGTATTCTTGGACTGCAACTCCCAGAAATCCTGACCAGCACAGGTGGTGGTGATGGCAGTCCAAGAACAACTAGAGACTCAGGCTGGTTTTTAAAATTCTTTTTGAGGAAATTCCTCAAAGAGAGGGAAATCCTGCTATTTAAAGCAGTGGTTCCCAACCTTCAGTAGCCCAGGTATTCTTGGACTGCAACTCCCAGAAATCCTGACCAGCACAGGTGGTGGTGATGGCAGTCCAAGAACAACTAGAGACTCAGGCTGGGTGGCTGTCCAAGAACAACTAGAGACTCAGGCTGGGAACCACAGATTTTAAGCAAGATGTTACAACCTACACCCCCAAAGTTAAGAAATTCATACCATAGAGCAAAACATGGGCATACTGAAGTACAAAAGGTGTCTACCCCAACACTGTAGAATAATCCCACTTGCCACCCCATTCCCTATATTGCGCCTCACTCCCACCTGGATGGAATTCTATGTACTTGCACTCATGGAACTCCTGGTGAACCATGGCTATGACACCAGTTGATAAATGTGAAGCTCATCCAGCCAGCTCACATGGAAACAACCTATTCCATACACTAATGCAGCTGAAGGAAAGCCGTGTCCATGCATGTGTAACCTTCAAGAACAACAATGCTACAAGGAAAACATCTGGACCTGCTTCTCTTTGGTCCTCCTCTATGGTGTTTAGCTGTTTACCTGTGTCCACAGAAGCTCCCTACTATTATAATTCTTTGTCTACTAGAAACCTGTAAAGACCATTCATTCATTCATTCATTCATTCATTCATTTAACTTATATGCCACCCACACTACCCGAAGGTCTCTGGGCGGCTTAGAACATTTAAAATACAATGAAAAGGCAAAATAATTAAAATGCAATTAAAGATATATACTCTAAAAATATAGACAAGTTTGGATCTTTTCTCCATTCTAGGTAGCGCTAAGTTCATACTTATTACTGGTGCCACTACTGGTACTTTACCACCATATTAAAATCCAAGGACACACATAAGATGGTCTAGTAAGAATAAAACAGGCTACATACCTAACTTGATTTTTTCAGATTGCTGCTGGAGTTCTTTTACTAATGCTTTCATTCGTTCATAGTTTTCCTGGGAAACAAATAAAAACGAACATGAGAATGGTCATTTAATAACTGAGGAGAATGGAGACATAATACTATATTTCTACTTTGTATTATTATAATTATATTATTATTATTATTATTGATGTATTATATAATAATAATGTTTATAAGCCACTTTTACAAAACATGCTAATTAAATACATCACAATACATTTATTATTTTAACTGCATTTTTTCCCTTGTGATTTCCCTTGTGGACACAATCTCAGGTGCCTTTTCCTCAAGGTAAGCCCTACTGATTGCCATAGTACTGTATTTACATCTAAGTAAACACGTTTCATATTGTTACTGT